CGATACGCATAGTAAAAAATATAATTTCATAAATAATATTTTACTTTCAGATTGGACAACAATTTTCGGTATAATCAATTGTTCGTATTAAACGAGGGATCAATGTTAATGACCTAGACATGGTAGAAATTACCGTGAAGGTCAGATGGAAAAATCATTTATCATATTCATGTTGTGAAGCTGACCATATTATAGTGATCACTATTCACTTTTATTCGGGTGTGTGACGAAAAAGGAGTTTAGCGCTGCGCGTCAGGAAATCCGCGTTTTCAGAATGTCAATCTGGAAAAATTTCATTTTCCACGTCGAAGAAAACCTAAACCTATTCATGAGGAATAATAATGATTTAAAATAACTATTCCCACGTCATTGAATCCATTGAAACAACACTTCTGAAATTCCAGGTATTCCGCCGAGCAACAACAAACATGCGTTAAAGTTCCACTTCATATGCAAAGTTAAATAGGTCATCAATAATTACTGTTATTTTTCCACATTGCCGACTGGTCGATTATGTAGGGAAAATGGAGAAGTTATCGGTGGTTTTTTTTATTCGCACGTGTAATGAGTAATTTTTAAATTCATTTTTATGTACGTTGCTTCTGAGATTTTGCAAGTGGTGTTCAACAATGAATAGAAATTGAATTGATATCTTTTTATTAAACTCTTTATAGCATTTATTTAGGATCTAGTATTATTAATACAGAATAAACCGATTTGGTACAATCGCTCTTTCTTAAAATATTCATAAATTTCGTTTTTTATCATCCGTTTTCGTTATGATTTTTCTTTTTATTTGGAATACTGTATGAACAATCAGATACTACTGACACAATATACATTCAATTTATTAAATCGTTATGCTTATGAAACATATTAGGAACAATTCAACAAATGCATTAAAAGTATGGCGACAGTAAATGGAATATTTTTTATTACTCCTACGCCGGCGTGGGAGCGGTTTTTTTAAATAATTTAATGTTTAGGCGACAAATTCTTCCATTCCCCATCCAACTTTCACTTTTTTTTCAACTAAAAGTTTACATCTATAAGAAAAACGTGAGCTTTCAATTGAATACTGATCAGACAAAAAAAAACTCGGATTTTTAATAGGTGCAGATTAATTTTGAAAACGAACACTGATTGGATTAGGAAAAAATCTGAAATTCTTTTTCTTTAAAATTAAAAAATATTTTGCACTAACAAATCAAGAATATAATAAATCATGTGGGCCTTAAATTCAAGGAAAAAAGAAAACGAATTCGCGACATCGTAATTAAGGGTGTGTAAATAATATTAAGGATTATTAATATTGATTATTTCAATAGAGGAGATGAATAATTTATAATTGACGGGAGAAATGGTGACCTGTCAGTCGCAATAATTAGAGATTATAAGACCTTTTGTGCGGAATGGCTCTAACAAAATTTTAAATATTTTTATAACAATTATCATTATTATTTTTTTTAATGGCAGGTCTGTGTGAGTTTTCTTCACGATTTCACGTGGGGCGTGCGGGAATATAAGTCGGTGTATATATCAATGCTAAAAGCGCCTGTGAATATATTGAGGAAAACAAGCATCGATTGAATGCATACGTTCTTGTTTAGAAATTTTCAACATTGTTCTTTTGTTCATTTGTTTCGCAAACGCTATTCACAATGGAATATACACTCAATCCTGCGTGTACTTAAATCAAGTATTTGCAGCTTTGAATTGCGTAAATACTTGGACGGTGAGAAAAGTTCAATGGAAATTGCAATAAAAATTGAACATAATTATTTGAGAAATCTCTGGTAGATTTTTGTTACGAGAAAAATTTTGGAACTTTTTCAGAAATTTATTGCACGTTTCGCATTTTTCTCTCATATTTCCCTCCGTGTATTGACGCAGTTTTTCCGATACCTGTGAAATTGGGAAAAATTTTATACTTTTCTATGGGTTAAAAGGACTCTGTGATAAAAAAAAATGTCGGGTCTAGACATGTACGGAAGTAATATCAAATAATTTATTAATATAAATTTCCAACGAATAGAAAAAGTTAAATGTAAAAGTTCCAGGTTTTTTGTTGATCTTGAATTCATATTTTTTTTTTAACTCGAAAGGTTGGAACTTTAGAATGAACTTACGAATTTCATTCTCAGGTATTTCGATACTTTTTTCTCTATTGATTTTTTCGATTAATATGATATGAGAGTCCATAAAAAAGTATAGAATATTTCCAGAATTTTTAGAGATACAAAAAAAAACTGGTGACTCCATTGAGGAAAAATGGAAGAGAAGAATTTCACTCACCAATTCCTTTCATCATTCTTCTCAAATTATAATTATGCTATGTTATCATGAATGGAAAATATATGCAAATCATTTTGCTTTCTCTTTTTGCGCCCCTGAAGTGATAATTACTCGCTAACACAATTTCCAGTTGAAGAGAACAATGAGAACAAAAAAATTCTTTCAATCAGGAAATTCTTCAAACAATCTGTTTTTGCCTAATCGACACATTGGATCATGTTAAAGGATTAATTATTTCATGAATACTCTCCTAACGGAAATTGACAAGTTTCCATTTCCTCTGGCAATTCTAAATTATTTATATCTTTCATGTTGAAGTCATGTATAAAATCTGAATCCTATATATTTGCACGATCCCTTATTCCCTGTCTTTTCATTTTTCGCCTCAATATTTTTAATCGAAGTATTTCGCTGACTTCTTTGACTTCTTCAAAATTACATTCTTGGATTTTCTCATTATTTAATTACTCACGAAGCTTCAAGGTCGTTCAAACATTGTTCTTGGTTTTTGTAAACTTTTAAAAAGAATCACAAAACTAGAGAAAATCTGAATTCTTTGGATTTTACCCGAAAAATTCAACGAAACTGAAATTTCGACGTGAGAATCGCACAAATAAAGAAATCCATCAAACGTTTTGCGGATAATAGATTTGGGCCTTACAGGAAATGTGTCACGTATTTTTTTTCATGAAGGATTCCATAATCTATAGACAAAAGATTTTCTCGACTTTTGGTTTAATTTCAACTGCAATTTTTTGATATTTACAGAATGGTCACTGTAAATTTTTTAAACTATTAATGACATGTAGATTATTCTACCAGTATAACCACCCCCTTCCATGCTAATCCATCGAATCAGAGAACCTGGTAATTCACACTTTGTCTGCTCACTGGTTTATTCGAATGTCACGGGAATGGACATAATCGGTAAAATTGGATTCGTATTTTCCACCTCCAAAGCAGTTGCCATACAATCATTGGCGGTCTCCATCTCGCCGAGTGATTCTAATACTTTACCCAAATTATACCTAAAATCATAAACATGAAGTATTAATCAACAATTATACATCGTTTTGCTAATTAATATTCACCAGGTTTGATGGGAATTCGGATCGATTTTTGCCGCATCGCGTAAAGTTTTTTCTGCAAGCCTCTGACATCCCAAATAATGGTAGACCAATCCCTGAAAATCATTTATAAATTGAATAAAAAATTTACTTTCTCCTCCCAGATCAATAGTTGAAGATCTTCAACAAACATGATCGGTATTTAATTACAAGTTTGACCCGTCAACTCCAGTTAATTATGAATATTTCAGAAATTGAATAAAAATTGGAATATTCTTATATTATTCATGATAAGATCAAAATATTACAGGTTAAATTCCTTGAATTGTTCAGTGAAACAGATTTTTGGAACTTCGATGGAAATTAATTCCGATTTTGTACGAGTTTCCAAATATATGTAATTAAAAAATGCGAAAAGTTATCAGTCAAGAATGCACGCGTTCAATCCACAGTTTTTTCCTAAGATATTAAAAAACACTAAAAATTTACTGAAACCAGAATGGAGTTCCCGAGTTCTCGTATTAATCAGAAAAAATCCCCGAACTTTCTTTTACAACGAAAAATGTAAATAAGTCCAACAATTTTAATTGTTATATGTAATTAAAAATACCAAATGCTGGAGGCTCTTTATGTGCGAAGGATTAATCGACACCGCATTTTGATAGCACTGCTTCGCTTCAGCATACTCAGCTTTGTATTCATGCAAGAGTCCCTTCTGTTAAAAATAAAAATATTTCAATTGAATGGGAGT